AGTGGAATATTGTGTTATCTACGGGATACTTCAAGCGATATAAGTTCGGATTTCCGGATATAGGAGATGTTTCTAATAAGGTCCTTCAGTATATCTACTCTAAATACAAGATTTCAATTACTTTAAGACGTAAAAGTAAGAATTTTATCATAAAAATTGCACAATTGATAAAGCTACGTCGAGTTTACAGATTCACTGCGGATTTCTTATTCAAATAGAATTGAAAATTGTCAACAGCAGCTATGATAAAATACGTGCATAAAGGTTTGCTATTCAGACGTGCACGTTCAAGTATTGATATACTTGACACAATAACTAACATTGTGATACGTGCTTGGGAGTTTTGAAACTTTCTGGATATTTAAATAGCGCGAAATTATCTCGCAGCAAGTGCGATGCACCGAGAAGGTACACATGACAATCTTGCCCGGAATTTCGAGACTATACAAAAGTCTTATTCTTAGTAGTGTGAATTCATTAGTAAACTTGTAAATGCTACAAAACGAAGGTTAAATTCTCAGTAGCACGCTTTGGTAGTCTCATGCTTTATGTACTTTAGACAATTTACAAGGAAATTGTTAATTCAACTTGATATATGTATAGTGCCAGATTTAATTATATTAGGAGGATCTTATTTTAGTATAATTGTAGAAAATGTTTATTTACAATGGACATTGTGGTAATTTAAGAATAAATTAGGACAATTTTCGATTTCCACGTCTTTTTGGCGAATTTTTGAAAATATTCTTATAGAAATGGGACATTCGTTTTAGCGACTTGTCAAACCCTTGTCAAAAACTGCTAAAGGTTTCGAAACGGTCGTTGTTCAGGCCGGAAAATCAAATTATGTCGTTCTTAAAGGACTCGGTTAAAGGTTAAAATAATCGGATTGCCGATACTGGGCGCTCTCGCGCAGGAGCTTCCAAATGCGAATATTATTCAGAAATTCCATTCTAACGATTGACAGTCACTTTATGGGTTTGCAGATGCAATCAATAATCCGGTGGAAATGGGTTATGGAAATAGGGAAACCTATAAAAAACAACGAGAGAAATCCGGAAACATGGGATAGCGCAAATTGAAAATAGTGCTCCAAATACAAAAATGTACCTACATAGCAAAATAAAACCAGAAAGAAGCCACAACATTGCAACTGCACAACGCCCTTTAATCAACTCTCTTCTGCCTCAATTTTGGAATTCTACGCGTTGTATAATAGTCAATTTGGAGCTATCTTGGTCGGAATGTGTACTGTTAATTCGTGTAATAACTTACTTTTCATTATCTCCAATGCCATCCAGCACTAAAGTGCTAATGTCGTTAATATTAATAAAACAGTTAGTATGCACCCATTAATTTCCCATGTTACACAACGAACACATTTTGGTTATTTACGTAATACGTTGGACAATTTACACCTAAAATATACTCCCGTTTAATGTCGGATATTTAGATTTTAAACAACAAACAAAACCGCTGCAGTGAATTGGATTTAATATATTTATATGTATAAAAAACAAATTGTTGACACTCAACATAATCTAAATTTAACAAGAACAATTAGACTGCACCGAAAATTTTATTCACAACTAAATTATGAGCCTATATTTAAAACACAAATAGTGGAGGTTTTTATTGGATCACGAAATGCATATTTTCCGAATAGAAAACTTCGAATGGCGCAACCAGCGTTCGGATTTTCTCGGAATAACTTCTATTTAAAGTCGGTTAGTCTGAAAAGTTCGCCGCAAAAACTTAAATAACTGAGAAATGTTTTCTCGTTCGCCGATCCGAAATACATTCAAATCCCTTTCAAACAAATTGATACTAGGGGAAAAGGGAATTTTAATTTATATGCGCATAATACACTAGGCACTAGGTAATTTATACAGATAAGCACATTTTATGTGTAGTTTTTGGTGCATCATTGCGATGTTAATTTAACTATTTATTTAAATAGTTATCTATAAAATAAATAGTACACTCTGTAGGTAATTATTTTATGCATTCCTCAAATATTAATGCATCATATTTAATAGTATGATTGATTGTATCTTGTGCACCTTGTCTGGCTCAAACCTCCCATATTTGTGCAACAAACCTGTTTTTCTCTTGGAGCCATGAATTCCATATTAGAGCGCATTGGAATTATTGAATATTTATGAACTGACATGAATGCTCTGTGTTTGGTGCAACTTATTGAAATAACAAAATGCTTGTAAGACGGTCGATTAAGCTGTGTATATAGGATACGAAAATAGGTAAAAGTTTTCAAAGCTTACGTGTAAGTGCAACTAGAAAAGCTTAAGGGTGCGCTTAATTACGAAGCGAATAAACGATGTAAAGCAGTTCTACTTCGACTTCGGTATTTATCGAGTTATAGGAAATTAAATTTAGAATCGAAATTCACACGCATTTTATCTCCAATTGGTAGAATCAACAGCAGATTTCCGGCGGTGTAAGTCGAGGAAAGCGGCGCAAAAAAATCCCGTTATCAATTTCCCGCCTCTCGATATTTTCCTTTCTCTTTTAGAAATCTCCCGTGCCAATTTAAAATACTAATTTAGCTCGTTGTCGAGAATCATGAGTTGACAATTTAAAGATTTATCGAATTTAAATTTGATGTAGCATTTTATTCGAAATAAAAACAATTATCAGATGTTGCTGCAATAAAAAGGATGTGTATAGGAGTTTAGCTTGCATAGGAGATTAGGAAAGCGAAATTTCGCCCTCACCCTAAAATATTTTTAGGCATTAATAAGGGTATTTATTTTAACTATCTAAAGTCTAAAGAGAGTAAACGAATTCTAATTTATATTTATGAAACGAGGATAACTAAAATCTCAATAAATTATCTAGTGGTTTGGTATTGCTTGGATATTTTCAGAACCTCCGCGAAATTACGTCCTTTTTACGATTTGAATCATCCGCAAAACCGAGATCAATTTCGCAAATCTGCAACAATATTTCAAAGATTATTTTTGATATGCGGCATCAAAATAACTCCATTTCCTGCACCGTTTTATCTTTAAAGCGACATTTCCTTCTTTTCAAAATGTCGGCAGTGTATGAGTCACATAAATCAATTGTTTTTTGTTCTTTTATTGGCCATTGGCTCGACTATAGATAAACAAGTTTACTCGTTTACTTCGTTTTCGAGATGGAATTTGAGAAGCGGTTCGTAAAATATAGAAGGCTTTTTGTACTTTCAAACTTTCGAACTTACATTCAATTACGAAGGGAATCGAATTAGGTCTTATTTGTCAGATCTATCTGTAGGCAACCCGAATTGAATTAATCAAATTTTTATATGCATGTATACCTTGGCACTTGGCACATTCAGCTCATCACTTACAAATCGAGTCGGATGCGCAAACGAGGAAGAAAGACAGCGATACTTATCATTTGAGCTATAGGTACAATTCGCTCCCACCCGTTAAATTTACCAATTTACCAAACTTGCCAGTGTAACTATCTGTATAGTAGAATCATAATTTATAAATTTCATCCACTTCCCAAACATTTACAGATCTTTTAGAAAATTAATTTTATTACGCCATTACAGTGTTTACTTTGACCGATTTATGAGTAATAAATTCGCGACGAAATAAAAATTTACGAGGCACAAATTCCGATTAGAAGTTAACTGCACTGCTATAGGACATTAGTATAAATTCCCGAGCATGAGATGGAAATGTTAAGTTGCTATCGGGAAATCTCTTTCGGCATTTCAATTGCATTTAAACTAATACGCGTTGGGAAACGGAATTCATCCGATTTCTTTGCCCATGTTGCTTTTCAACTCAACAGAATTTTTCAGGCATCCCTAGCGGAAGGACTTTAATAATATTTGAAATTTCTTGCTTCAGATATTTTATAATATTTAGGGTAGTGGTAGAAAAATTTCATACAGGTATCATACAATGTAATCTCTTGATGTAGTAGATACATACATGTGTATGTGAGAAAAACTGTTTTTGAAAGCAAGTTGTATTTTTAATATATCAAATTTTGTTTATTATAAATTTTTTAGAAAAATGAAATCTGCGAATCGGCTTCAAATTATGTAAACTACCACCCCTAGAATTTAGTGCCATAATTTCAAGAACACCATGTATAAGGAAAATTTTAATTTTACAGAATTTTAATATGACATACCAATGCCTAGATACGTGCTATTTTTTAGGATTCCTTGTCGTAAAGCTTAGTAAAAAATCGGAGCTCGTTCGGTTTAAAAAAAGCTACATGGGATTTTAATTTTTTAATATACTTTTGGAAAATGGGAAAAAATCCACTTCGATTAAACCTTTCCCTTTTGTATGGTATACAGGTTACTGTATGTATGTTTTAGTGGCGTATATTGCACAAAGCAATTTTACCGACGATTGTCTGGTTGAATTTGTTTTTTTTTGTTTTTGTTTTTATACTCGTTCCATTGACCAGCTGAAATTATTTTCTTGTTTTCCGCTGGTCGTTACAAATGCCATTAACACATGCTTGCTTTTAATTGAATTGACACGATTGATTGGATAAAAAAACAAACTAAATAAAAGAGATGATTATTGAATGAATAGGGAGTTTTTCATCCAAATAAAGCAACGGATATTGTAGTTAGTTTTTGGTGTAAGGTTAGGGAAAAGTTTCATTTCCTGAACGGATTTTAGTCTAGAATTACCGCATCAAAATCGCTGTATCTGCAAACCAAATATTGATATTTGAGTTGTCGAATAAAATCATCTCCAGAAAACCCTACATGAAGCATAGATTGAAATGTAATTGAAATTGCAACGAAAGCCCAAAATCAATATCCGCTCATACGTAAACTGCAAAACGTAAAATTAAGGTCGTGGATTTGAGTCGTGTACAAAGTTTACTTCATAAAAGTTTTAGATAGTCGGCGTTTCATTTCTTTTATCTTTTGGAATAGCCAAGAATTTGTAATTCTATTAAAAAGTTAATCGTGGAATAAAACAATCTAATTGGTACTTATTTATTTGCAGGTATCATGGATACGGCATCGAGACCTTCATCTTCTAACAGTTGGACGATTCACCTATACATCTGACCAAAGATTCGTTAGCATTCACAATCCGATGACCGAGGATTGGACTTTACAAATTAGATACCCGCAAAGGCGAGATAGCGGCATCTACGAGTGTCAAGTCGGTACCACCCCGCCCATGGGACACACTATGATATTATCCGTCGTTGGTATGTACATTTATATTAATTAAACTTTATTCACTGCGACAATTATCTTGATGCACCAGTTCTATAGATTTAATTTTGTAAAATCCGGAGCTCAGCCACATATCGCAGCTATAAGTGACAATCATACGAAATAAAAAAAAAGTGAATAGCCCAAATGTTATCCGAAGAGATTCATTAATCTGCATATTGTTCGCAGAACGTTTGAATATTCCCGTCGGGTGCGCCTGGTCGAACGGCTCTCCTAAGAGGTAGTCAAACACTTTTTGGGTAATGAGGCCCGACGAGAGTGGAGAAAACTCGTAAAAATGTGCTCCCGACTAATAGGCACTACCCATGCAAATGAGCTCCGTTGCCATTGCCATTTCGCCGCCGTACCAGGCATGGCTGACCAAATCTATTAAAGGGTCTTTTGCGAGTCCCCCGGGCTTTTCGTTAAATCGGGTTGACGATTCCGCTGTATTTAAACAAAAGCCGCATAATGATTTTAATTAATGAGCATCTGCCTTGGAGATTTGCTGACAATCGCGTACTGCGTGCGAATCTCTCTGTAATGGGGAGCCTTGTTTGAGGTTAATATGACATATAAGACTATACTACTATAACTAAAAGTTCATTTGGGAATTAATTGTAATTAATGTAGTTTCTTGACAATTTACCTAGTATAATTTGGCGTGCTAGATGTAAGATTGGTCAAAGCTGTTGAGGTAGAATAATAATTGGTTTGGTAACTCAATTCGCGTATTTACATAGTTATGATACGTGGAGGAAGCCATGTGTAAATAAACAAAGTTGGTCCAGGAAGTTAATTACACTTTATAACTAGTTGTAGGTTATTAATTCAAATGCATCTCCCGTAATTGGGGGAAATATTTAATGTAGGATATTTAGATGTTCAAATTGCAAACGGATTTGTTAATGCGGCTCGATATTCAACTGTGCAGGTAGATATAGCAAAAAAATAGTCCCAATAAATGAAACTAATAAAGTTGTTAGTGCTTTTTTACGGCGACTTTTTAACTCGGCGTTTTTTTTTCTCTTGCGAATCCCTTCCTTTATTTCTCCTCATATACTCTCCGGCTTTTTCTTTCGACTGCAGTCATTACCGATAATGGATTTTTCAGGATTTGGACTTTTATGTACGGCGAGGCTCATGTGGAATTTACATTCCGACTCTTATTCTCCCGTACGTAAACGCTTTTTTTGTATTCAACGTCGATTTTTATCTCGAATTACTTTCGGTCGAGATTTATTATTTTCCAGTTTAAAACCGTAAGCTGTTTTGTTCAGTTAGTAATAATGGTAAAAGCGATGACTGGAGTAGCAAATTTATTAATCACTTTTTATTACTATCTATAACTAAACTCGAAAATATGTTCGCGAAACTTTCCCCGAGATTTTATTCTTCTCGAATAAAACGACAAGTGTTTGATATCTCGCAAGAATAAGGCCTAAAACTTTTATGGCCCGGGGGGTATGGTCGTGCGGTCGTGATGTACCCGAAATCCTTTTCGCAGTGTCCTCACAACCGATTTCATGGGGCAGTAATAACTTTATTTCGAAGGCTTTCCACTTTGTTAAGCAGGACTGGTCCGCTCGAAATTGGCTCCTGAGGGTACGAACTATCCTGCTGATGCAATTCTATTATTCGACAAGTCTTCTAAATGGCCCTTTAACCAATTTTAGAGCGCCTGGGAAACAGTCCACCGAGTGACATAAATGATTAAGACCTTTTTTTAAGGGATATCTAGTTCGTTCTACCGTTACTGATTATATAAATATTAAATATTATGGGTATGTATATAAAATTAATTTACAGCCCAATTAGCATGTAATAATCTATGAATGATTTTATCCTTTAATTAGAGGATTAAAATGATTTTGAGTTACTATATATGTATCTATTTTAGGATAATTAAAATGGATAATTAAAATGTTGGGTCGTATGTATTGTGCGTAATTACTTCATTTATAATTAAACTTATTTAAATGTTATTAAATGAAATAGCAGAGCGATATCTACTACATTTAAAGGGAGTTTTGATGCTTCCTCCACCCGTTTTATCAACTTTCCTTTTCTTTACTTGACGAATATTCCATCATTAATTCAATTCGAGCGTTCAAAGACCGATCCTGTCCAGAACTCGCAGTAATAACTCGAAGCGTCTCCACTTTCAGACAGATACAATTTTGGAGTAAATTTAGGGGTTTTATCTTAAAATGTACGTCGCTTTTAGGGCACAAACAAAATTTAAATGAAGGGAACTTAAAGAGACAACTACCGCCGATCTCGTCGGTAACCTCCTAAAGATTAAATAAATTTATTTTCTGAGATGAGAATCCGGGATCAAGGATTAAATCCTTAAGCGCCCCGGATTGTAGCGAGAAAACAAGCTAGATACAAGGTAGGGTGTCTATGAGGAAAATATTTAATTTTTATCCCATTAGAGGCAACAAAGCAACTACTTCTAAGTTGCTAATAAAGCTCATTAATTGTTAATTATTATAACGAGATAAATAAACAATGGCAATTTTCGAATGTTCCAATATAAAAGCAAAAACTTGGGGATTGGATTTGTAACAAAATTATTCTAATTACATTCTCATCAACATGTTTAATCAAATAATATTGATAGGTAAGCTTATTAAAAATTGCAGCCCAATGAAATTAATTTACCCTATTACCTATATTGGCAATTTATGTTAAATTTAGAGACAATTTAGGTACAAAGGTATTATAAACTATATTACTTATTAAAATCGTCAAAGGTTAAATCTATCTTCATATTTGATGATTCAATTTTTTAATTCTCGTCGTTACAAATTTAATGTATGTTTGCGAACATCAACCATGAACGTATATTTGAGTTGGTACATTAATTTTAGGCAATAAAATATTTACTAGTCATAAAAAAGGCCTGTGTTCGATAAATGAGCTGTTAAAAACAATCTACCTCTAATGGTATCGGTGCGTGAGCATTCAACCCCTCTAATTTTCGTGATAATAAATCAAAATTCTATCCAAAATTGTTCTTCCTTCGGGAATCCCCTTCAAGATGGTTGAGAATTAATGCGTTTTGCTTTCGCTCCTCACTCCGGAAAATTATGAAACTTTCAATGAATACAAATTACTTAGGGGCCCGAGCATTTTTCATTAAGTTTTAAAGTGTACCTAAAAAGGCATACAAATACTTATTATCTTTAATTTTTTAGTAATTATAATTGCAGGAAACACATTTTACTTAATTATTCTATAATGATTTTCTTCAAGCTTCCATGAAGATCTTTTGAATGTAAAAATATACGTAAGCAACAAAGATTTAATAATAATGCGTACATTTATTTCATTCCTGGATCGGCAGAGGAACATCCTTACATCCTTGACATTTTAATTTGCATTTAGAATATGCTCCATGGCATCAAATCAATGAGCATTTTAAAAGAAGATAAGAAAAGAAAAAGAATTTCATTACCCGCAAAATTTTCTAATCGAAATCCGGAAGATTTATATTGAGAGCTTAATTGGTTTTTTCGAATAAGACATTTCACTAAATACAGATCCGCATTTTAATTTAATTTTAGGGGCAAAACGAAAACATCGCTATTAAAATTATTAGAAGTTTAGTTTACATTCTAATCTTATTACTTTGTTTCATGAAACTTGTCGGAAAATTCACTGAAATTAAATCTTCTCGAGTTTATTTTGGGATAATAGAATAATTAAACGGATTTCTACAAAACGCTAAAGTGAGGACGAGCTGAAAATTGTGCACTAACTTAAATGCATCAGAATGGATAGAATATCAAACCCAAAGTAACTTATGCAAAACTATGTAAATACCTACGAATAAAAGAGAAATTTTTGGAACCTTCCTTCATTCACGGAATTTTAGCTAATGAAAATTGAACATAAATAAAACTTTTTCGACTTCATTTCGTTCCCTATAAGAACCAGTTGTTTTTCCCATAAAGGAAGTTCGGAACTTTGATCCAGTCGAATATTATTGCGAACATCGAGTTGAAAGCTATAACAAAAGTTTGGATGCGAGAGCGTATGGGCGTACACGTCGAAGCTCGGCTTTGCTCGCAAAACTACTTTTCCTACTTTAAAGTTCCATTAGTTACCGATTCAATCCGAAATATATAAACTATGATAGACCAAAGTTAAAAATCCACTTACCCAACATAATAAGATATTAGTGCGAAAGAAAATTATGAACGAACAGAGCTCGCGTTTACCTACCATATGTTGACGCGGCGTGAAATAACTATTATTTATGTCGCGAAGAAAGTTCAAACTATTTATAAGTTAATATACAAGGGCACTAAATCACCAACAACCAAGATGGCAAGTGTAGTAATTTATTTCTTGCAGCTGGAAAGACACAAGAACCAAGTTTTCGCATCCGAATAATAATCTTTTACAAGCCGCGAAACGTGTTTTCCAGGACGATGCGTTTTGTATATCACGAATTAATTTTGAACGAGTGATTTTAGAAAAAAATATATAGTTTTAAGAAAAAGTTATTAAACAATTAATTAATAGTTAGTATTGTACTGACAGTTACTGTTATTGTAAAATGTAATATATCTACCCAACTTTAAGGCACCTACAGGCAAAATTCTCTAAATAATTTAATAGTATATTGAGTAAAATACAGTATTATATTTGAGTTACTGAACTATATAGACATATTTAATTAAATAATTTAAATAGACTGGTAGTTAAACAAAAGGATAAATTCCATTAGTTCTATACACAGTTATACCTACATACATCCGAATTCACTGTTTCTCCCTCTCTCTGTCTTTTCTTCGAATACACCTATATACCTTTGCACTTCAGGCGACCTAACTAGATGTAATGCCTTGTTTCAGAACCGATAACGACCCTTCTCGGTGGCCCGGAAATGTATATCAACAAGGGTAGCACCATGAACCTGACTTGTATCGTGAAACATAGCCCCGAACCGCCGCCGGCCATTTATTGGACGCATAATTCACAGGTAAGATGAATTTAACAAGGAAAGGCTAACAGGTTTAAGAGTGATGCATTAGTCGATTGAAACGGTAGTGAAATATCGGACTTTACAGCTGTTGCTAATACAAAATAATTCGTTGTAACTATCATTTATTTCGTGCAGGCGCGAATTTATTTTATTCGCAAATGTAATACTGGAACTTTGGAAGAACCTCGTGAAAAATCTGTTGCGGCATTCGACGTGTTGAGTACCGCAGAGTTAGATTTTCGGAGAGGCTGTAATAGTCGTTCAACTTCGCGTCGAGGGGATTTTAAAAGTTTCAATTTTTATGTACGTCTCCATATACATCAATTTTGTATTCAGAACTAAAAAAAAGGAACTTCGGAACTTTGAAGAATGCTTTAAAGTTTTCAACGGAATAGTTAGGAGCGGATTTATTTGACATTTATTAGGGAAATTTCTGTATAAAATTAGGTAAAAAAGTCTGCTTGTTAAGAAGTTGTTTCAACTGTTCAAATAAGCATTTCTATGCCTTTATAAGGTACTTAACATTTTAAGTACAAGCAATATAAATATGATGTAATTTGTCGACTTTCTGAAATACCTGTGCCCTATTAGACTGCTACATGCATTGTAATGGTTTATATTCTTCGTTTATGTAATGGAGGTAGTTGAATAAATAATAGTTCACAGATGATCATTAAAGAAAGAAATCATAACAGTAAACAAAATACAATTTCCATGAAACAATGTTTACAACTGTAATTTACGTGATCCAAATACTCCAAATAGCCAAACATAAACAGAATATCCTTAACACAGGTGGAAGTAATAGTGTAAAATTGCCTTTTCTTGAACCTCCCTATTCGTTTTTCCTTGACTGTTCGAACCATAAAGGAAAGATATGATTTTGCCGAAGTTCACCGTATAAGTTTAAATTTGAACATCATCTTGTTTCATGGATGCTCTTCTATCGCTTTACCCGTGTCTTTCTTTATCTTACAGCGATTTTTCTAGACAAACCATACACTTTATGAAATTCTTTTAGTATCATCTATGTTTTATGATAACCGAAATACATGTACTCTACTCGAGATCAATCCACAACAATTTGTAGAAATAATAATATCCCCAAAGTACTTCGGAAAATAGTGAAGTGCATTACGGTCCGCGAACACCTATTATATATCATAAAATGACTTCATGAAATTTTAAAAGTTTTAAATTGTTTTATAAATGTTACTCGAATAAGAGATGGAGGTTACAACGGAACAGTTCCTAGTTCCTAGTTCTCATCAATAGATATTAATGGAAATCGAATCCATTGTACCGCAAGCAAAATCAGGATACATTGTTTACTTTTATGACGCAATAAATATTTTACGAGTACGCTAGATCCTGTCGAAATCGCCGAAATGGAAAGAATCCGCTTTTTACGATGCCCTTAAAGTATTTAAGCCGATAAGTATTTTAGATATAAATCTCAAAGCGTTTCAGTTAGATTATGAAATAATAATTTGTACGTTCGCAATCGAATCGTTATTAAATGGGGTGGAAATCTGATTATTATCCTTTTGTTAACTCCAAGGCATCTCGTAAAAAATTTAGCATGAATTTAATTTGTTCCGAGGGCTCAAACTATAAGTATAACCGCCGCTTTTATGTAATAGTAAATTACATTTCCGAAAATAAATTGCTTTGCGATTAATTAATAAATTAGCAACTGTCCCAGGAATCGATTTCCTATAAAATAAGTATTTACTAAATTATAAGCGCAAGTTTAAGCTTGACAGGCAATACATCAAGCCATTGTCAGTGGGGTTTTTGAATAAACGTTTTGAATCCAAAATCATGACGAGGTATTCGGATTTTGATAATGTTTTGTCTGTACGTGACGTTCACATTTAGCAAACGGGCATTGTGCACAATTTATTGTAGGAACTTTCATATAGGCGAACTGCAATTTTAGTTCAGCATTAAACTTAACATTCAGTTGCAACTGCTGCAGACCATTGTAATTTCACTTTGTAAAGGTAGTGAGTTGGATCTTCTCGCCGTTAGTTTTCCATATAGTGACTTGACTAGACGTTATCTCTCTACTAAGGAGTTAAAATTAAAACAGACGATGTTCCTAATGGAGTTTTAATTAAAATATCTTCGTTTAAGCAGTGAATATATCTTTTTTTATACAATTTTAATTGTCGGAAAATTATTTATCAGCAGTAAATTATATTTTTTGCTTTTCTCATTTCATTTAATTCGGAGATATTATTATACAGTCCTGAATATCATTTAGTTTTTTTTATTTTACTCGAATCGTCTAGACGAAGTGTTTTTCTCAAACGAATTGATGAATCAAAATTGGGAAAATTAATGGAGCGTAAAGTTTAATTGGTTTTATTTCGAGCAAAAAAGACGCGTAAAATTACTTATTGGTATTGAATTTAAAAGTCAACTTAAATAAACACACCTATACCCCCTTATTATCTGCTCTTGACTTAGCAGGCTCTTGAATTATGAATCTTTGCCCGAAGGGAATAAAATCGTACAATGAGTGTATAAGTTAGTTTCGTGTTTAACTTTAATTTTGTTGTTAAATGAGTTAACGGATACAAGCGAAAACTATTAAGTACTTTTGTCTCGAGAGTGTTAAGTTTAACTAGTTTGAACGTAGAGAAAGAGCAAATTTACGCGGATTATTTTATCGCGCGTTGAAAGAGAAGAATATGGTTAATAGGAAGATATTATTAAATATGTGACAATAATAATTGAAGTATTTTGCGCACTCCTACTTCATTACACCTTTTGAAGCTTTTACGTTAATGAGATCTTGAAAATGACAAAAAATTAGTACAGAGTTGTCGCATTGCAGGAAGCGTATACTCGAATGATACTAAATTTATACTCTCACCAACAAAAAAATACTCACATAAAATGTTTTTCGTCAAAAATAGTTATCAAAACGGTCCGTTTTAGTGACAATTCTATTGAAAAAATGATGAATAAACTTACAAGGACAATTATGAATTTATATTGGTAAACCATATTTTTTAGTTCTGCTTTAAATAACTTTGCAGAATTCGAATAAGCACGTACTTACGTGACTAAACGACAATTATTTTATAGCTGCAGGTCGATATAGGAATTGCCACAAAATCGGTGCCGAATACTTGCATAAACCGAACAAATGCATTTTGTTAAGAAGATGTGATATTTCTCGTAAAGAGTAAACCAAACAAAAACGCTTTGGAATGTTTCCAGTTAATTTTTTCCAAACAACCGTAATTCAAAATACCAAGCTTCACAAAAATCGACAACTCGTTAACGTCGTGTATCAGTGAAGATTACCAGCAGCAATTCGTCAATATTCCAGCGGTATTTACCGAAAATAAAGGAAAAGCGATCCGGAACGTCGTCGTTAAATTTCCCGTTGAATTTCAATCTATTTGTGTGGTCGTTGACTTTCCCGTTTGGATTTATTGCATCAGCTCATGGGTGTCGATGATGAGCGTGAAAGCGATACAATTGTCCAATTGTTTAGAGGAAATTACTGAATTCGTTTGATAGTCGAACCGTCACCGAAATTATTTTTTGCCTCGAACACATAGCGCACAATACTCGACATTGTCGGGTTTAATTGATTTAGGTTTCGTTATATCGATTGTCGGTAATGAAGGAGGAAAATCGAGAGATGTTGTAACTGCAAAAAATTGGAATATTTGTAGGTAGATAAAGCTTCAGTAATTAACCAACAAGATGTTAGATGAAACAGTTATTGCATCAGACAGAGTGTTAACGTTTTTATCTTGACTGGCAGCATCTTGGTTTTTTTCTGTCGGCTGTTTTCCATGTTTTCTGTCCGTGTACGTGACGTGTTCAGGCCGGCTAACCGAGTGTTCTCGAATGCCTAGCAATTTTATCGCACATTTCACGTCACCGTAAAATTCGCAGAGATCCGGCAGTGAAGTGAAAGCACTATTCTATTCTCTACGAGCCATTAATCACAAATATGGATTGCCGCCCCTCGACAATGTAAGACGACGCACTCCGGCGTTTTCCTCGACACGTCAGAATTTACTTCGACCTCGTCCTGTGTATTTCCGCAAATGCCACTCGAACATTTCGGATATGAATCGGCCCTCGCTAAGCAAGTAATTTTTTCAGATTCCAACCTTCCTAAATTGCCCAAAACATCAAAAAACACACCCAATCATCTGCCAGTTAATTACATATTTGTTTACACTATGTAGCAAGCGAATACACACAATTTCATAAAATACGCACAAACATACATGTAATTAATTATACCGTTTTTAACGGTTCACTTTCGGTTCGAGTTTCCGCAATGAGTTAATCAAGTTAAAATTATTTAAACAATACCGCGAGGTAATATGGGTTTACGTGTTTGTAACGTACGGTGTAATCTTCAAAAGTTAAAGGGGTTAATGGGGAATGCGGCAGTTACGATTGCCGATTTCATCGATATACGGTCGTGTTTGATTACGTGCCGTCTGTGCAATCTATAATTGAATTCAATTCATGCGGATAAAGAGGGTGAGATGCTTGGGAATGCAGGTATCGGGATGAAAGCCCTCTTCTCTCCTTGAACTGTTTATTAATGTTGCTCGTAAAAATCCCTCCTCGTTGAGATTGCTCGCTAAATTTAGCCGAGGTAATGATCGATAAATGCATATTTTGTCAATGAATATATTGGATGACCTCCATTATAATATAATGGTGCTATAAGCCCAAGATTGATGTTTGCAGGATGATCTATATCTATGGCTATTTGTCACAAACGTCTGAGCGGGGTTTCCGATAGTCAAATAGGGTTGGAGTTCACATTTACATTCACCTCTATTCGCAAGGATTACTCCCCGCACAATTAGAATGGACTCGGGAGGAAACCTTTTATAGAATATCCGGAAAATTGATCGAACATCCAGATTGAAATCGAGTAAATAATTTGCTTCGATATTTACTGAAAAATGTATTTTTATTATTTTGTAACTTGTTTTTTTTGTTCAGATTTAAATATAATTTGCATTTAGATAAAATAATGGGGAATTTTAAGCAGTAATATTATAGATGGAATATTTTAATAAATAATAACGCATCCTCTCCTTTCCTTTAAGCTTACCTGCTCGTATCCGATCCAATCCGATCAAATTACAAAGAAGACGAAGAAAGCCAATAGAATTAGGAATAACAAATGAGGTGATTTTGTGTACCAATAATGAAACAATCTTCATTGAACTTTTTTAATAAAAGCATAAGATTTCCTCATGGTTTTATTCGGAACAACAAAGCAGGCATCTATCTAAATTTGATCGGAAAATACATCAATTATGCGAATTAATTAATCATAGGTCTTTGGATATAATGAATAATTCGGACGGCGTATAATTATTAAAGGCCCGTGATTGAACCTTTATAAATAATCGATTTTACTCAATAATGTTCCAAAAATAGCTATTAAAAAAACCTTACTCACTCAAAACATGACACTCAAAGCAAAACAACACATTCATTTTTAATTTTCTTCCAATTACCTATAATATAGTAGATACATACATAATTATTAATAATTTATTCATTATCCCAATCATTATCCCTCTATTATTACAAGTATTGTTTATGACCTCGTTGTAATTATAAAATCATCGTAAAGATAATCGAACTCTCCCCTACGGTCTAACTTCGTATCGGTTCCAAAGTTTTCCTTTATGACTTTCGCACTCTTATAAACATCATCTTCTAAACGCCCTGGAAAAACCTTCGGGACCTCTAATTTCCATGCCGAGCGCCAGAGTCGATCTCAGAATTTTAACCAGTTTGGTTCAAATTTAGATATCTGAAGTTTAAAACTATTGGTATTAGAACATATTTATCTTGTAGATAAACACAATTCTGACATAAATGAGGTAATAGAGAAATAACAGGCTACAGTGTATGAAAAAATTTTCACAATCCGAACCTGAGGAATTGTAAGGTAAGACTTTGCGTAGAAGATGGAGATATTATTCGCAATAATACCCCTATTTGCGATGATATTCGAAATAATTCAGCCTTGTCGTCGAGCAAAAACGTTGAGCGCATAAAATTGAATCCTGTGCGGCTTACACATACGCTTTAATACATCCTGAAATTGGATTATTGACTGTAAAATACAATAGCAATGAGTTTCGAATATCATTTTGCTCCGTTGGTCTGTGATGATATGGAAATTGGAAGGGCCGTTTTGGAAATTGTTGCTATAACGTTAACCGGAGGCAGGTATAGTCGTTAGGGTATAGGTCGAATACAAGTTTTAATCATGAGAATTATGAAGGGTTAATGTGTTTGTAGTGGGAAAATTTAATCAACTATACTATGTTCACGGGAGCAGTCGAACACTAATTACACGCTGAATTTCTGCATTAGAACTAATAATAGCTTTCATAAAAGCTGAAAAAATGTTTCCCTTTCGTTCGGATAAAACCATTAAATTTTAAACGTACATACTCCTAAAATGACCGAATCGATTTTCGACAATTACCTTTATCCGGAAATATTCCAGCCTTTCCCTAGGTAAACTTCTACGTTTTCCGATTTTCCGCAAATTATCATTCCCAATGGGGATATCTGCACTATGTCATCCGCCGTTTATTTTCCTGTCCATTAAAATAACAGGATTCATCCACAGTGAATCCGCCCCATTAACAGAGATAAAATACATAGGAAAATTGCCCAAGATAACGGTGTGTGTACATCGTAGAGCTGTTTCACATGCGATAGAACTCTTAATGTACCATGTGACATATCTATTAAAACTTCTTCCTGTGGAAAATATACTCTCGGAATACCAAAGCAGGATTGAACAAAATAAATTTATCGAGTAAATTTATAAGAAAATAAGAAGTAGAATTTATGTAATTATGATTAAAAATTAATGGAATAAAGCGAGTGAAAAACAATAATCTAATAAATATAGTTCTTGTAGAAAACTTTCAGAAATTGGACCAATCTAATTTCTATATACGTTCGTTTATTTTTGCATTCATCTTCATTATCGGATTTAATCTGGCGTTAAGTGCATTAAGAAGTTTTTATGATCCAATTTACGGTAATAGGTTAATCGGACATGACAGGCTCGCAAATCACTTAATCAGGGCAATTTATGGAAGAGGGCGTGTGCCCGAATCCGATATACCCTTCTGTGCCCTGTTAAAGTTGTCGAGCCAGCTGATCGTTCGTCCCTTATGCGGTTTTCCTTCGATTCCGAACTTTCTCCACGCTGCTTTATTTTTATCAGAGGCAGCGCAAAAAAACGGTAATTAAAAAAGGCAACCGTACCTAATTGGCATTGCGTTCCTGGCTAATTGAAAAGCAGGTAGTTAATACTCCTCGTATCATACCAAACTGAGGAAAATTTTGTTTCAATTTAAATTACCTACTTATTACAGACATTCCAACATTTAATGTTCACTTAATAGTTGATGAAGAAATTTAAGGTGAAAATAGTACCTAATATTCAATGAAGGTAACACCACTGTTTTCTTTGCAGGAAATTAACTACGACAGTCCTAGAGGAGGAGTGAGCGTCATCACCGAGAAGGGCGACAACACCGTCAGCTATTTGCTGGTACAGAGGGCACGGGATTCGGATTCGGGAAAGTACACTTGTAATCCTTCCAATGCTAACCCCAAGACGCTCGTTGTGCATGTTTTGAATGGTAAGTGGCAGGAACCTAACGGTGTATCAGACGCTTCCCTTCTTCCTTTTCTCGCTGGCTTATTACTCCACCTCTTCAGCATTCACTACATATTGGGGGATGATTTCACCGTTTATCCCAAATCCTTTTTTTAGGGGTTTCTGTTCAATGCAGTTACATTAGAATGAATACATGAACACACTTATCTGTAGTGTTCTTTATTAGCAATTGTGTTAATTTAATTGAAAAGAGGTGCTTAATATTACGGTGAGAAACTTTTAGGAATTTAAATTTCTCTTTGACATACTGAATTAATCAATGTAGGTAATAGTACGTAGAAGTGTTGTGAGCACCTCAAAGTATGTGCCACATCGAACAGTAAGCGAGAAATTTAATTTGCGCCTCACGCGTTCCTACCCTACATTATGTACCTTAAATTACGGGTGGATATTTTGAATTGTTCGCATTTAGTGTTAATTTTAGGTGTATGCGACACGCTAAACTATACATTTATTATTAGGTCCAAGAGATTCTTTAGCTACCTGAGGTATTTAGAATGCATTCAATTGGAAAGGTTATTTAGTAACGTGGGACGCGTAATATTAATAGTTGATTTATTCATAAAAAATATTAAAAGTAACTTTCCACCATATTTTAAAGGATGCTGCAGGGAACTTTTAAAAAGGGCATGTTTCATCTGCTACACGCGGCTTTGTACAAATTTAATTACGAACTCGAAAAGGTTATCCGCTTATATTTTCTACCTGAATTCCGGACGAATGTATATCTAAATGATTTTTATGCGGATATGAAGCGAATCCAAAATAATTTACTCAAAGATCAAAAACGTTTCTACCCTAATTCAGGCAGAGTTTGCGTTTATACGGGAACCATCCTCTATAGATAACATTTCAACAAATATTACATTTTTTATCAAATATACGGCGTGAATAATAATTAGAGCATACCATTTTATTCGCAGGAAATAAAGAAGAAAATAGAAATAAAGAAATCATAGTGCACCAATATACTCAAATTTCAATTATCCGACAATGGAAAAGATTATTTATAATAAATTTACTGGAAAAACTGTGACCAAAATATTTAATGCCCAATTTATATAAATTACATTTTTTTGTGAAAAGAAATTACACAGTATATGAAGGTTCCAGAAAGTGCAGGTTACAAGAAAACGGTCCTGCATGCAAGTTAGAGCGTCGTAAATTAACCGCCGATCTGAAGTATCCGCGAGAAATAGGCCGCATTACCGAAGTGCATCCTGCGGGCGCCTGATTTATCCTCACCTTCGCCGCCGAAACTCGGATCCTGATCCCCCGCAAAACGGAGCCGTGACGACGTTCCGGTCGCAGCATCACTTGCTGCTTCATTCCTGCCGGTGTTATTCCGAGCGCTCCGACGACTCGGTTGCATATTAGCGAAACCAAGAGACTAAATTACCCCACATGTTCCTCTCTCGGCGCTTAATGGGCGTTAAAGCAGGATCGATCCTGATGGATAATGAAGGAGCCGCTAGAAATAGTCGGGAGTTACCTACTGCTCTTTGTGAATACGCGAAACGCGCGCAAGGGAAATAGTCCATCCGGTTGAACGAGTAAGAGTCGTTAATTCTTAGGGAAACTTGCGTGAAATTCCTTTACTTCTACTTCTACTTGTTCCTTCGATTGTCAGAGTCCTAAGCGAGTAATAGTTTTGATTTGATGAAATTGGTTCCAGCAAAATGTACCTAAACTATTACATATCGCCATAAACAAACAGTTCCTTAATTTGCCCAAGGATATACCTACAAATCGATTGTTATTAGATCAGTATTAGAGAGGTAAAATCGACTAATTTCATCGAATACCTAAACACAATTTCCGTCTGGCGAACTCGACACGGAACCGAGAAATTCGCTAAGTACTCGAGTACACAACTTGACACGTTCCAACAACAATGTTTATTTGTACGGTGGAAATCTTTTCGGGCGAAAGGGAAGCCGCAGGCGAGCGAAGTTACAAAGAATCCGAGGGATTTAACTCGGGAAATGTGCAAACGCTGCCGCAATTCGGCGGTCGAAAAAGTTGTTACATTGATTCGGCGCGGCGTTTGTTTCCCATTGAAAAGTATTCCGCCAAGAATGCGTCGGAGGATCATTAAATTCGCCGCGAACGAGACGACTGCAGTTCGAGATAAATCAACAATGTTTGCTTAATTACGGCGCGGTAATGAATTGCGGACGAAATTTGTTGTGGCGCAGATGCGGTGACGGATATTTATCAATTTCCTGTCCCCGAAGTAATAAGGACAGTCCGCGCGAAGAGGCCCAATTAGCCTGAGTATTTTTTTTGTACGGTGGCGTCAAAAACAGTGAAACAGGCTCTCGTCGATGGCGATGATTGGAAATGGAAGAGCGAGGAAATTGAACGAATTCTTTGCCTTTTGGAGATTTACTTCTTACATTGGCTTTGAAGGATTTGGTTATTGAGCGATTTTCTATTATTATTGGTTTATCGTAAAAATATTCAAGCAGATTAGGTACATATTGCACATGTAAATATTTATGAAAGAGAAATTTTAAGCAATTTTTAAATTTTGCAGGAGTTGCAGTATTTCAGTATGAAATGGCTCTTAGATTTATTAGCCCTTGCGAGCAGCTCATAAAAACGCAGTTACATTTTCCTTGCAGAGCAATTCAAATTTTTATGAGTGATATATCTGTATAAATGCAGTTACTTTATTATTTATGAAGATGGAAATTTATATTAAAACCCAAAATCATTTGAGACAATGCTTGCAAACTTATAAATAGCCTTTGAAAATACGAAGTTCTGCAGTCATAAAAATATTATGCCTATAGTCATCCTATTTTTATTTTTTGAACCGAAAGCTATTATAAATATTATCGTTGCATAAGTACAAAATCCATTACTGTCAGTTCACGAAAAATTCTATCCCTTGTGAAACAGAATTGAAGTCATATTTACGAATAGTGAAATTACGCTGTATGCAATATTACATCGAATAATGGATGTTTCTTGACAAATTGAATGCAGATATTGATAAACAAGATACGTATATTTCGAAATCAATCATCGCTTTGTGTACAACTGAAGATTATCGTTCGAGTTTCTGTTTCCATAATCGGTTTCCCTGCAATGTAATCAATTTCTATGACAGAGTCCATCGAGCTATAAGTGTATAATTTAGCGTGAAATGCAGGAAAAACACTAGATAGCTATCTGTAATATTTACATTATAATGGTATACAGAATAATCCAACGATTTATGGCGAATATATCCTCCTTTTTATTCAGATACGTAACTTAATCGCCCTGTAAAGCAGTAAATTCTTTCTCTCCTAAGGAAATAATAAAAAGAAGTGCCTAAAAATTATTATTTACACTTAGTCTGGCACCGTCAGCCCTCAATATTTATTTTACAATAAATTTATCAGCATTATAACGTCAACCAATAAGCCTTTATTGATTATTACACACAACTACGAACTCAATATTGGACGTTGAAAGCAAATATTGAACTAATCTATTTCGTAATTCCACATTAATTTCTAATTGCAAAGCGCTTTACAAAAAAGAGACTTAATCGTACCCAGACAGCAGTTTATTAATAGAAGATGTACTTTTGATTTTAATTCAAAATATTTCGAATGGAATAAAATTTATTAGAGATATCAAAGGTAACTTCAATATAGCTTGAAGAAGATGCCAGTGAGCTAGAAATTTCTATATTTCAGCGGTCACCTGAGGGAATTTTTATGATATTAACAAAAGTAGGATAAAACACCGGGGAGTTGATATTTCCTCAAATATAGCGCAGAGAGAAGAAAAATAGGACCCAAAACTTGAGGACGATAAAATATTAGCGCAAGTGGTATACCACCATACTAATTTAAAATCTTAATTTTAATATTTTTGTGCCATCAGCAGTAATTCTTATTAAAAATGTACCAACTAAAAATAATAGTCACTTTACTCACATTAGAAAATATGCTAATGTTAGGGTGATTATACGGTGGAATTCGACTAGTTTGAAGATGGATGAAATTTTCTCGCTATTTTTCTTGCGGAAAAAATAGTTTAATATTTATGGCGTACCTTCTCTGTAGGTAACGATCTTCGCCAATTACATACAAAATTCGTTTCAGAGAAAGGTTTGCCGGTGCCTTGTCTGCTTTTTTTGGGCGTCTCTTTGAACTCTAATCGTTGATATCATTATTTCTATTTCACTGGCTTTAGATATCGGCGAATTTATTTCTCGGTTTTACGTGTATTCAATCGACTACGTACACCTTAGGGAATTTTTAAATGTTAAATAATTATAATAAAGAGATAATTGTTAGGTAATTTCGAGCAGATTTACTGCAATTACATTAGGATGTGGCTTAAATTTACGATGTAAATAAATTATGATCAACGATTTATTCTCTCCGCAGGACCTTAATCTGAGAAGGGATCTGTGACAAGGGTCGGTGTTTAGTCGAGGCCGATCCAAATGAAGAGTAAAAAGAGTTATATTCATTCATAACCCTCTGAATCTTAATTCACTCATTTCATAAACTTCGCAACTCGCGAAAGCTCCCTTTGATATTTTTATATCACTTTAATTGCCCGAAATAGGAAGTTATGTAAATTCTTTGAAACATTTAATTACTTGCGATATTTAATGGTTGAAGTAAAAACTCTGTTATCTCCAAATCTACTTCTCCCTGATAAAATGCCACATCAGCAACTAGTTAAAGAAGGTAAACCAATAAAGATAAAAAAAATTGCAGTCCAATTCTTGGAGAGTTGTTTTTGTACGACACGTAAAGACCTAAATTCAGTCAATTTGAATGACATCGTCTTTCCGAACCAAATGAATTCTCCACCTAAATTCTCTTGCTCCTCTTGCTCACTGCAATTTGGTAACAGTGGCGCGACGCCACTTTTATCTAAGTGAACATTTTTATAAAAGGTAATGACGATTTTAGTTAATAAAACAATAAGCAAAATAAGCAAAAT